CTAAAAGTGGGTTTAGACAATTTTCGCCTGTTCCATTGAAAAGTACGCAAAAAAATACACACAAGAACCTCCCGTATTCATGAAACAAAGCTTTTTTGGGCTCGTCATAAAATTAAAACCATTTTTCAGCCGAAAAATTGAGTCGGCTGTTTTGGCAGGAAAACGACGCAAAATCGCAAAAATATTTTGCGCCAGAACGCACCCACCCTAGGGTACTTAAAATATGGGTTCCGATGATTTTTTGAAGTGGGGCCAAAATTGGCCCTTATCGATACCCCTCCTTTTCGTCAAATCAGAAAATTCACCGAAAAATATTAAAGGAACTTTGGCTCTGATCCGTTCATTTCTAGAAAGCATTCTGACATTTTGGACTGAAAACAATATGTTTGATAAGGCACAAAAATTGCGTTTTATCAAAACCTCCACCTTTCCGACGCGTATACCTATCCTATACGAAAAAGAGATTAATGGATTAGATTTAAACATACTGAATTTGTTTGAGTGGATCTTACGAATAACGCCATCCAAGCGGATCCGTCGGATTTCTGTAAAGGACCGTTCAAATAATACGTAACGCTCCAAGGGAGAGAAAGGGTCAACCCCCTTTACGCCGTTTTGTTTTTACGTGTAAAAGAATAGGGACCTACATCGCAAAAGTGTTACGAGGGAAGAAGTGAGCGGGGGTCCAAAAATTGGAAAGAGCTTGATGCAAAAACGGCTTTTTTCGCCCCCCCCCTCTGGAATTTCTTCAGACTTTGTCTATTGATTACTCATACTTGAGCGCATCTTTTCCCAAATTTTCAGACCCCCAAAAAATTTTGGGGGAGAGCTCAAAACCTGTGAACCTCGATATCTCTCGAACGAAGAAAGATATCGAGGTCCGGATTAGACGATAAATCGTCTAAAATTGCATACTTTAAGATTCTAAAGGTCGAGATCCCGATATCACATTTTTAAGTCAACATATCGACGGTGAAACTACCAAACCACGTATCTCGTTTGCGGTGTTTAAAAATCTACGCTCACATTTTATTTTTTTGAAGTAGACCAAATCAATATCATTCCTTGAAATTTCCACAGAATTTTCTCCGCACGAAGAGGAAAAATCACAGAAATTTTCGAGACTGGACGTTAAGTAGATTTTCATTTAAAAAATAAAGTATGACAGGAAGTCTGCGACGTCGCAAACCGAGATACGTGGTTCGGTAGTTTCACCGTCGATATGTGCTTTTTTCCAGTTTTTAGGTCTAGAAAATTTCTTTTAAACAAAAAATTTACAAAGATCTAGATTTTTTATTTGAACCAAAACCAGTTTTTTAAATTGTTCGTCTTTTTCCACATCCAACGAGTGGTCCATTAAGCTGGGGAACCAAACGGTTCCGGAGTTATGATCGATTGAAGTTTCCGCTCAACGCGCGCCGACCGATTTTTGCGCGCAAAAAAGGCGAATTTGACTGTTATTAAATTAGATTGACTCTTCAAACTGAGCGAAATGCATTATTAGGGACTCTTGAGGGTCGCTGAGTTCAGAAATTACAGATACTTCCAAAAAATTCACGTTTTTAAAATTACAGCTCCGTACAGGACCACTGAGCGGCCGGTCGGCGCTCAGTGGGCCTCCAAAATAGCGCTACAGAGCTGTAATTTTAAAAACGTGAATTTTTTGGAAGTATCTATAATTTCTGAACTCAGCGACCCTCAAGAGTCCCTAATAATGCATTTCGCTCAGTTTGAAGAGTCAATCTGATTTAATAACAGTCAAATTCGCCTTTTTTGCGCACGAAAATCAGTCGGCGCGCGTTGAGCGGAAACTTCAATCGATCATAACTCCGGAACCGTTTGGTTCCCCAGCTTAATGGACCACTCGTTGGATGCGGAAAAAGACGAACAATTTAAGAAACTGGTTTTGGTTCAAATAAAAAATCTAGATCTCTGTAAATTTTTTGTTTAAAAGAAATTTTCTAGACCTAAAAACTGGAAAAAAGCACATATGTTGACTTAAAAATGCGATATCGGGATTTCGACATTTGGAATCTTAAAGTATGCAATTTTAGACGATTTTTCGTCCAAACCGGACCTCGATATCTTTCTTTGTTCGAGAGATATCGAGGTTCACAGGTTTTGACTTCCACCCCCCTAGCTCCCCCCCAAAATTCTTCGGGGGTCTGAAAATTTGGGAAAAGAAGCGCTCAAGTATGAGTAATCAATAGACAAAGTCAGAAGAAATTCCAGAGGGGGGGGGACGAAAAAAGCCGTTTTTGCATCAAACTCTTTAGTGTTGCGTTTTTTATGAGCGTGATGTCACTCATGGGCGTAAGGGTGCATCGAAAAAGCCGTAGAGAGCATGGTGGTATACGGACGGAATGGCTCATCATATCAAAGTGTAGATGAATCAGCTATTACAGAAAGGGCACAATCGACATTTTTTTCGAAATTGAGTTTTTTGCGGTTTTCGCATTAGTGTATGTAGACACATCCTGTAGTGCAGACAGGGCACTATATTCGCATTTTTAAGTGTTTTTGACAGGGGTTCAGTTCCTCACGTAGAGCAGAAAGGGCACTGTTGCAGCAATATAGTGCCGTTTCTGCAGTACATGCCCACTGGGTGCGCGCGCATTGGCAGCGGCAACTCGTCGTTTGTTTTGTTTTGATACGATTGAGAGGTTAGTTTTGCGTTTCGAAACGACAGTGATCACGCTACACGCTTCACTCACGCTGAAAATGAAAGGAGTGAGAATTGAACCTTGAGTGTAGGAAGTGAGAGGAGNTTTTTTTTTAAATTTCTTGACTTGAAATAAGCCAGAAATATTTTTAAAATTTACATAGCTGTGGGCAAACCACATGGTGAAAGTTCGAAATCGCATACCATCAATTGCGACATTGCCAATTTTATTTCGTCTTCTTTTTTTTGTTCTTAATTATTCTCTATTGAAATTGTGTGTAAATTTTCTTCACACCATCAAGATTGTTTTCTGAAAATTTCATGGGAAAATCTCTATTAGTTCTCTTTAAGAAATAGTATAAAAAGAGAGCAGAAATTTTGAAACGTTGCAATGGAGATATACAATTTCCAACTTTCGCTATAGACATGCATCATTGCCATACATTTGAGATGAAAAACAAGGGCTAAAATAATTTTCTGGCTTCATTCTATCACTCTTTATGGCTCCTTCCCCCATGTATTGCAGAAAGGGCACTAATGCTCTTCCTTCAAGTGTCATTACTTACAACCCAAAGAGAGTATCATGTAAAATTTTTTTATGGAAATTGTCAGTCTACTTGGGGGACAAAAGAAAACCTCGAAAAATTTTTTTCCAAAAGCTTATAGTTTACTCAAATCAGTTTTTTGCATTTTCTGAACAGTTAACATTTCTGCAATAGTGCCCTTTCTGCAATATATGATTCAGATACGCCCTTCCGCCAGAGGAGCGACGGTATATTTGGAAGGCCCCTCTCGAGCAACTCGCCGAATACATGGTAGCGTACGGCACATTGCATCCACCTCCTCAGTAGGCGTTTGGTAATTTTTCTGTTTCCTAATTTTAAGGATATGGGTTTCTTCGATCAACATCACATAGACCCTTAAATTGAGGAAACAGGAAATGTTATGCCCGTTTCCTAATTTTAAGGAAACTGATCTCTTCAAACGACACACTCCATGGATTCTTCAATTCAGAAAACGGCTTCGCTTCTCTCCGTTTCCTAATTCTAAGGAAACAGGGTTCTTCGATCAACACCACATGGATCCTTAAATTTAGGACACAGAAGCGATTCCCTCGTTTCCTAATTTTAAGGAAACAGTTTTCCCGTTTCAAGTATCCGTAAGTCTGTTTCAAGAAAACGTATACGTGGTTCAAGAAAGCATAGTTTTCTCAACTCAACACAATTTTGTTACCTTGGATCAAGATAGCTGTTGGCTTGTTCCAAGCTAACACCGTGTTGGAATTAGGAAACTTTTTAAGGATACATGTTTCCTTAAATTTAGGACAGGTTTTTTTTCAGTGCTTGAAGCGGGAGCAAAGGGAAATTAGAGGCCCCTACAGCTATCAGAGTCCCTGGTCTTCTGAAAAGCCCTCCCTAAATGAGTCTTGTTGTTTCGAAATCCTGCACTGATGGTAATTTGAATGCTTAACCATTCAAAACTACTTTCAAACCAGGGTAAAAATTTTCTCCGTGTTTTAAGTTGTGAAATAACTCACTGGAAAAGCATCCAAAAAGGAGTTAAAATAAATCATTACTGATATCTGAAAACAGTAACTGAACCTGGTGGTGAACACAGGAACCAGAATAGTACAAGTGGATGCTTATGGCCTGTTACACGGTCAAATTCCGATCAAATGCGGTGACTGGTGCGCAGTTGCGCACCATCTACCATCAAATTTCTGCGGCCTGCAAAAATTTGATTGTAGATGATGGAGCTGTGGGGCTCATCCTTCATCTAATTTCCACACAACCGTGCTCTCGACCGCCATCTTGGTCATCATTTTGATCGGAATTTGACGGGAATTTGATCGTGTAACCAGGCCAATATACATATTAGATGCTCACGTATTACCTGTAGATGCCGTACTTATTTAAATGCAAGTATTTACTACTAAATATCGACGGCGTAAGTCCGCAATCACAAATCTCGTTTGCGGTGTCTCATAATCTCCGCCTTTATGCAATTTTTTTAATGGTCAACAAATTGACATTATACCTTGAAGTTTTTGCAGAATTTTCTTCGCACAGAGGAGAAAAATCACGGCAGTTTTAAAGCATTGCCCTCGAGTAGTTTCCCGTTTAAAAAATATAGTATGACAGGAAGTCTGCGACGTCGCAAACCGAATTAGGTGATTGCTAACTCACACACGCCGTCGCTGTGCGTTGCTTGTTTACGCATTGGATCAAGATGAATAAAGTAGGTTATTTTTTTTTTTTTCATTGTGCAACGAGAATTTTCCAATTTTTTGAAAAGGAAATAAATTTTGTGAGAGAGGAATTGAATGGTCTCTTCTTACAATGGTATAGTTATTAGGGAATTCCTGTCCATCCGTTACTATTACTCTGGAAGCTGCAGTCTTCCCGACACCAGACTCACCTGTAAAAATGAAAAACATTTTCATGAGTACCTGTTACAAAATATCCTCCTATGCAAACAATATTTTGCGACTGCAACTTCACAATTTGCAAAATTATTGCGACAATATTTCTTTTTTAACGAAAGTGAGGGTTCACTCTCAGGAGTTTAAAATCACAGGCATAAGTACTTAAAGCTATCAAAAATTATACAGACTCACCAGAAAACACAACCTTTGCCTGCCGGGTTTCACCTGACCGCATGAGGAGGCGGAGGGAGCGGCTTAGTAAACAGGTGCGTATGAAAAATAATTTATCAGACAGCGTATGCAGCAACCTTCGGAAAATGAAAGCATTATTTAATATATTATACATTCACGCCTCTCCGTGTATCTATAGTGAGTACGTAACTAAGATATCAGTAAAATTTTGGAAAAACTTCATGTACATGTAAGTACCTACCTACCTACCTACTGTAAAATTACTCAAGCGAATTCGAGCTGGAATCTGCTGGCTCACATCATCAACTTGTTTAAGTGTAGGTATCTCCACGGCAACCTGTGACGGTAACAAACAAGAACAGCACAGCTAGCCACATATCACAGAATCTTACATAAATTCTGATACATACTGTTAGATGTTGATATAATATTAGGTATCAATACTAATGCAGTATTATATGTAGATTGTCGGAGAAAGATTTACTGCGTTAGCATTATACAGAGTGATCCAAAAGTCCCTTCCACCCCTTCTAACTTTTTACCTAATTGAGGTAAAGATTTGAAACTTGGGGGATATTCCTAGGTCAAAGGGAGCTACTTTTTGGCCACCCTAAAATTTTCAGGGGAGCCCTCCTAAGGGGGGCAACGGCTCCCAACTTTTAATTTTCAAAAGGGAAAACCCCCTTTGTGATAGCTCGTTCGAAAGAGCATAAAAAAAGAAAACTTTTTGCGCAAACCCGAAGTCAATATCTCAAACCGTTTCAAAATGGCGGCGGTTAAAGTTTAAAATGGCCGAAAATTCACACCGGTTATTTGTCAATGGATTTGCGCGAAAATAGGTATGAAGGGGTATTTTGACACGAGAAAAACGAATTTGACGTTAGATTTTTAAAAAAAACCGACATTTCCAAAATGGCCGCCGGTTAAAGTTCAAAATGACCAAAAATTGAATTTTTTAGAAATCTAAGTTCAAATTTGTTTATCTTATGCCAAAATACTCTCAAATTCCAAGTTTTAGGCAAATCCATCAGGAAAAAACCGAGATGACAATTTTCGGCCATTTTAAACTTTAACCGGCGGCCATTTTTGAAATTTTGGTTTTTTGAAAATCTAACGTCAAATTCGTTTTTCTCGTGTCAAAATACCCCTACACACCGATTTTCACGCAAATCCATCGACAAATAACCGGTGTGACTTTTCGGCCATTTTGAACTTTAACCGGCCGCCATTTTGAAACGGTTTGAGATATTGACTTCGGGTTTGCGCAAAAAGTTTTCTTTTTTTATGCTCTTTCGAACGAGCTATCACAAAGGGGGTCTTCCCATTTGAAAATTAAAAGTTGGGGGCCGTTGTCCCCCCCCCCCAAGGAGGGCCCCCTGAAAATTTTTGGGGGGCCAAAAAGTAGCTCCCTTTGACCTAGGATTATCCCCCAAGTTTCAAATCTTTACCTCAATTAGGTAAAAAGTTAGGGGGGTGGAAGGGACTTTTGGATCACCCTGTATAAATATTGTCGGAGACAAGGTTTAACCTAGTATGGCCTTGTCTCCACGGGCCGCTTCACGGCATTTGTCCCAAGAAAAAATCCCTCTTACGAAGTCGAGAAAAATACTGCTAGCCCTTCCTGTCCCACCATCAAATGAACTGATCAATATTTTGTCCAGCACCAAGAATAGCCCTAGCTCCTGTCCCACTATCAAATGAACTTATCAGATGCAAGATGCAGATAGCCCTACCCTTTGGGGGCGGGGGGGCCCCAACTTTTTTTTTCAAATGGTAACTCCAACCCCGACCTCGTGTTTTTGACCGAGTTATGATAGGTCAAAGGTCCATTTTAACCTATTTTCAAAAAAATCATAACTCCGGTTCAAATTGGTAGAGAAAAAAATAAAACGGGAAAATTTACCAAATTGTAAGCACTTGCAAGTAAAAATCACCTCCAAATAATTTTAAGGGGGGTCCCGATCCCCAAGTAGGTACGTCAGTTCAAAGGTCTCACGATTTTCCCGTGAAACGAACCAATTTTCTCTAACTTTGCCTCAACATTATCTCGATAAGTTCGGAATTTGTTCGAGACTTTTGAAAATAGATTAAATTTGACCTTTGACTCATCACAACTCAGTCAAAAATCAAGATACTGATTTACGGTTTGATACTGATCTACGGATTGCGCCAAAATTCTCAGTTTTCAATGTTCTATCCAATGATGTATCACAAGGTAGGGGTTACCATTTGAAAAGCGGGGGAGCGAGAAAGTAAAAAGCTGGGGGCCCCCGCTCCCCCAAGGGAAGGGCAAAAATGTCGACCCCCCTAGAAGATGGTCCCCTATGACGTAGAAATATTCCCCGTAGAGTAATATTTTCCGTAGAGTTTCGTTTTTCTATCTCTAAGTCTCTAACCGTTAAAAAGTTACCAGGGGGGGGGGGGGGGTACGGACTTTTGGGACACCCTGCATAACGAAGTATAAAAAAATATCTATGGGTTGGGAAGGGAGGGGGAGGAGATGATATCGATAATTACAGTCTACAGCATGAATTTAAGGTCCTAGCGGTGAAACAACCTCTCCCTCGCTCGAGTGCCGCCGATATGCCGCGCGCGTGTAACCGGGAACGCGTGGAAAAACCGCTATAACTCAAGAACGAATCGTTTCCTCAGGGTCAAATAAAATGTCGCAGATGCAGAATTCCATGAAAAATCACCCCAACAGGTTTTTATTCACATATGAACGATCGCCTGGAGAGGAGAGACGAAGAACAAAAAAAGTCGAGCCGTCAGAATCGAAAAAATCGAGTTATGACTATGGTGAATAATGGCAACCGTCCAAACAGCATTAATATTCTTGTAGGGAATATTTTAACGTTTTTTAACGCAAACCGCAAGACTATCACTCAAACCGTTCGTGAGATATCGATTTTTAAAGTTTTGAACAAATTGCAACTTTGCCCCGCTCATCAATCCATTCCATTTTATACCTATATTCGCTGCGCATTTTGAAGCAGCTACGCGCACGCGCCCAGGCGGCGCACAAGGGGGGGGGGGCAAGATGAGATGGCGTGGGAAGTTGGGAGTGCGGAGAGGGGGAGGGGGAGGAGGGGATACTGTTGACAATATAGTGGCGAAATATTGCAGACCCAGGGGCGGCAAAATGTAGAGTACCTTTATAGACAGAGTATGGCCATTCGTATCTTTTTACTACAGGAAAACTGTTCCGCTTTTTGATTGGTCAACGAGTTTTTAGCCTTCATGATGCTCTTAGGGCCGTATATAAACAAACAAGATGGCAACTCACCGTGACATCGATAAAAAGCTAAATTTGACAAAAAGTTCAATTATACGGGAGTAACAATTTAAACGAGCATATCTACGAATAACACACGAAAAAAACCAAAATACAGGCTGAGCCTCATAATTTGGTCCACGGTGGTTGTGGCGAGCCCGAATCCGGGTGCCCCGAAAAAACACCGGAGTGCTTTCCGACCATGAGCCCTGGAAAGAACGGCCGTAAACGGGGACTAAGGCTCAACTTGGATTGGTCCATACGCTGTTTTTTACTTTCTCTCTCTCGCACTCATTGCTCAGATGCGGCACGTCAAAGAAGCACACTCGGCTTTGACAAGATGCCGTTTTATCGTCTATCTCTCTCCCACTCATTGATCAGATGCGGCAACCCGCGGCTCGTCAAAGGGACACACACACACTCGTAAAAATACAGGCTGGGCCTCGTAATTTGGTCCGCGGTGGTAGTGGCGAGCCCGAATCCGGGTGCCCCGAAAAAAGACCGGACCGCTTTCCGACCATGAGCCCTGGAAAGAACGGCCGTAAACGGGGACGAAGGCTCAACTGAGATTGGACCATACGCTGTTTTGTCCTTTCTCTCTCTCGCACTCATTGATCGGATGCGGCACGTCAAAGGAGCACACTCGGCTTTGACAAGCCGCCGTTTTATCGTCTATCTCTCTCCCACTCATTGATCAGATGCGGCAACCCGCGGCTCGTCAAAGGGACACACACACACTCGTAAAAACACAGGCTGGGCCTCGTAATTTGGTCCGCGGTGGTAGTGGCAAGCCCGAATCCGGGTGCCCCAAAAAAACAACGGAGTGCTTTCCGACCATGAACCCTGGAAAGAACGGCCGTAAACGGGGACTAAGGCTCAACTTGGATTGGTCCATACGCGGTATTGTCCTTCCTCTCTCTCGCACTCATTGCTCAGATGCGGCACTTCAAAGGAGCACACTCGGCTTTGACAAGCCACCGTTTCATCGTCTATCTCTCTCCCACTCATTGATCAGATGCGGCAACCCGCGGCTCGTCAAAGGGACACACACACACTAGCAAAAACACAGGCTGGGCTTCGTAATTTGGTCCGCGGTGGTAGTGGCGAGCCCGAATCCGGGTGCCCCAAAAAAACAACGGAGTGCTTTCCGACCATGAACCCTGGAAAGAACGGCCGTAAACGGGGACTAAGGCTCAACTTGGATTGGTCCATACGCGGTATTGTCCTTCCTCTCTCTCGCACTCATTGCTCAGATGCGGCACTTCAAAGGAGCACACTCGGCTTTGACAAGCCACCGTTTTATCGTCTATCTCTCTCCCACTCATTGATCAGATGCGGCAACCCGCGGCTCGTCAAAGGGACACACACACACTAGCAAAAACACAGGCTGGGCCTCGTAATTTGGTCCGCAGTGGTAGTGGCGAGCCCGAATCCGGGTGCCCCGAAAAAACACCGGACCGCTTTCCGACCATGAGCCCTGGAAAGAACGGCCGTAAACGGGGACGAAGGCTCAACTGAGATTGGACCATACGCTGTTTTGTCCTTTCGCTCTCTCGCACTCATTGCTCGGATGCGGCACGTCAAACAAGCACACTCGGCTTTGACAAGCCGCCGTTTTATCGTCTATCTCTCTCCCACTCATCGATCAGATGCGCCAACCCGCGGCTCGTCAAAGGGACACACACACACTCGCAAACATACAGGCTGGGCCTCGTAATTTGGTCCGCGGTGGTAGTGGCGAGCCCGAATTCGGGTGCCCCGAAAAAACACCGGAGTGCTGTCCGACCATGAGCCCTGGAAAGAACGGCCGTGAACGGGGACTAAGTGTCAACTTGGATTGGTCCATACGCTGTTTTTTCCTTTCTCTCTCTCGCACTCATTGCTCGGATGCGGCACGTCAAAGGAGCACACTCGACTTTGACAAGCCGCCGTTTTATCGTCTATCTCTCTCCCACTCATTGATCAGATGCGGCAACCCGCG